ACAGCCACTTGGCTAGGGACACTGGGACACACACACACACACACACACACACACACACACACCCACATGCACATGAACAAACACAGAGAGAGGCTTGTATGATCAGAGGGGTACACACTACATTAAAGATCACCATAATGCTTCTAAGGGACAGAGGCACCACCACTAATTACACTGCAGGGATGTGTGAGGTGGTGTGTGTGTGTGTGTGTGTGTGTGTGTGTGTGTATGCGCGTGTGTGCATGCGTGCGTGCATGCATGCATGCGTGAACATATGTGACCAGGTAGTAGACGTGTCCCACATCAGAAAAACGAAAACAAACATTTAACCCTCGGTGTATATCACAATTGACTTCTGCACAACATCCATCCAGTTATTGTTGGTAATTCACCTACAGGCTGGTTGAGGCGCCCACTAATCTACAGACCGAATGGGTTACCAAGATGACACAGCAGATGGCAGCGTTGTGTCCACTCTCTTGTAATTCTTCTATTTTTGTTTCTTTTTTTTCAGTTTTCAGCTCTCCCTCAATGGTTACATTCACCAGGAAGGAACTTTTGAAATTTGCTGTTGTTATATATGTAAAATTATTATGCACATCCAAGCACAGTTTTGAGGAAAAACCCCGCAGTTGGTTGTCACTTAACATTCCAGAAATCCACCCTTGTTGATGAGGGAACGATGTGATAAGAATGATAGCACATTTGTCTAACATTGTTAACATGAATATTAAATTCAGCCTATCACGTTATGCCATACCTGTGGGATTCTGTCCAGCTGGCCTGCATTTCTCTCGATAACTTACTACTTAGAATCATGTACTGACTGTATAAATTGAAATATAAGCCTCTCCAGACTCTCAGTGGTCCCAGAAAAATTTTTTATATTGAATGGCATTAAAGGGGACCTATGCTCATTTTTTAAATTCATATATTTTATTCCTCTGGTCTAAGGCCATCCAGAAATATTAGTTAACATGAACAATTGTCTCCCAGATCTAAAAGCTATTGTGCTATAACTCAAATTTGTGATGTCATAGGGTATAAAGTCTGGAGCTGCTTAGTAGACAAAGAATGGTGAAATATTCTCAATGACAGAGCATGCAGATATGATTATTGTCACATTCATACATATTTTATGTTGTAAGCCGTCATTGCTGTCTGTCCTGCATCTCTCTCTGTCTCTCTTTATGTCTCATTTTGTCATATGGAACATTGTAAATTTATTATGTTGACCATCTGTCCATCCTGAAAGAGGGATCCCTCCTCAGTTGCTCTTCCTGAGGTTTATAACATGGTTTTTTTTTCCCTGTTAAAGGGGCTTTTTTGGGGAGTTTTTCCTTATCCGCTGTGAGGGTCTAATATGGGATGTCACATGCTGTAAAGCCCTCTGAGGCAAATTGTTATTTGTGATATATAAATAAAATTGATTGATTGATTGATTGAATGTTCTGAGTATGTGGGTACATTTTCTGTTTCAGAACTGAGAACACTACGATAGAATTAAGTTCATTTGTATTGTATTATTACAGTATTAAAAAAGAAAACAGACATCCCTCCCATGCATTGGTTATGGAGCAGCTCCAAACTTTATACCCTATGACATCACAAGTTTTATAATTACTTCTCTGAGTTTCTGGCAGAAATCTATTTGTTTTAACTCAAACCATGATAGTTTATTTATTTATTTATTTATTTATTTTTATTTTTTTCATAAATTAACAAAGTTGCAAATATTGATTGAACTCTCATAGGTCACAGAAATAACATATTGGAAATGGAAATTTGGGTGGCATTCCCCTTTAAGGAGAGCACCCAAATAATGAAAACATAGCAAGGCAAACAGATTTCATTAAAAAAAAAAACGTACAGAAAATTTCTTTGCAGCACTATCTAAGTCTCTTGTATTCATTACTGTGCTACTGGAAATCCAAACACATCTAGTTTTGCTAAACATTTACGTAACTAAACATTTGTTAGATTATCATCCCGTGAAGGAATCTGTTGTGTACATGTGTGTGCATGCATACACAACAAATTCCTTCATGGGAAATGTTTTGTTTCCTTAAAGCCAATCGATAGTGGACTATATACACTTTATAGTGATAGGTGAACTATAAGTGTAATGTATAGGTAAAACAAATTGAACTAGAAAACCACCAAAGTATCTAAGCTCAAGCTTTGTATGTGTCTGAGTGAAATGATCACTTACATAAACAGTCATTCACCATCTGTCTCTCAGTTAGACTGGACTGGTAGGATAATTTCCTTTTTGACCACTTAGGGTCAGAAGTGAGTTAGTTTTGGTGCTGTCAATAAGGATCAGCATGGCGTGTGTGTGTGTGTGTGTGTGTGTGTGTGTGTGTTTAAGAGAAACTGTAATTGTATGTATTAGATAAAGCCTGTCCCCTCATTTGCTTGTTTATCATCTTTCTATGAAAACACATTAGTTCAGCCTGCGTAGCTCTAACTTGGTGCATGTCAATAAACTGTATAATATTCCTGCAATCATGAGGTAAATGGAAAAAAAAAATGTAAAGTGATCTTGCATGATTAACAAATATTGTGCAGAATTATCATGAGTCTGACTGGAGTTTATTTAACATACTGTTTATCACAGTCTATGACAGATTAAAAAGAGAAAAAGCATATATCTTGGTAGTTTCTACAAAATGGGCTACATGTTTTCAGTTGCAAGTCAAAGCCACATTTGAGATGTCACAAGCACTTACTGTGATCAAAATAAACTGCAAAGACAGGATTTTTTTCCCTGTTTGAAAATATACAGCTGCACAACATGTAAATGAAAAATGATATAAAATACACAGCAGGGCTGTACACTAATATTTTTGCACATAACACTGGAGCTACAGAGGTTTAAAGGTTTGCAGCACAGGACACAAAAAACTAAACTAAAGCTAGTGCTAAAAAAATGAAAATGAAAAAAGCTTTTGTTATTTATGCACATAGTATCATCAGAGAGGCAAAGGGAGGGAAGGAGCGAGAGACACTTGCGTTATATATGTCTTGTATGTGAAATGTCTGTGTTTTGTCGCTGTATTTTTAAAACAGATCTGTCGGCGCTGTGACTAGGAGGTACTGTCTTCATGTCACAAAATAGACCACAACTACCAAGAAGAATGGGGACCCTCTATGATTCACCTCACACATAAACTAGCAGAGCAGCGTTGAATTGCACGTGTGCTGCGGTAATTTCAATTATCTCACAGACTGATTTAGCGTAGCATGTGCAACATATAGACTGATGTCACACTGTAGACTCATTGACAGACAGATTAAACAGAGGAGCAGCTCTGTGTCTCTCTTAGTGTTGCTGGCGAACTTGTGAGCGTTGGGGCAGAGCTGCGCGGAGAGTGTGAGGAGAGATGGACTCTGGTATGTGTTATGTAATAATAATAATAATAATAATACATTTTATTTATAGGCGCCTTTCATGACACTCAAGGTCACCTTACAGACAAAGATAGTGAAAGTAACAGCAGATAAAAAGTCAGAGGTAAAGAATAAAGTAACATAAAATAAACAAATAACAACAGCAAAACAAGTTTACATTGAATAAAATTCTGTGTAAATGATGGATGTGTGTGGCTAGGTGGATGGGAGTCATACTGAATAGGCTATTTGAAAGTTTTTAAGCAGGATTTGAAAGTGGAGAGTGTGTTGATGCTACGCAACTTTACCAAATATCAATATAAACGGTATTGTCTAAATTTATATCTTGCTTAAAAATATATCAAGATATCGTACATAGTCGTTATATCGCCCAGCCCTACTCTCCAGGAGTTTGGTTGTTGAACCAGTGCTAAGCAAAGAGGTGAACCTGTCTCCTAGTGGGTACTGCTCCTCTTCCTGCATCAACTCCAGTTCTGTCCCTGCCAAAGAGGTAATATTCAGTGTCCCTTAAGCCAGTCTGTGACGCCAGGGATCAGTATAGATCTTCGCCCTTGCCTGCCACCTGGCTCACACCACTTCAGTACCTATCCCTGTGAGTGTTTGGTCCACAGGCCAGCAGCTCCATGAGCCACATGGGTCAAGGCCTGGCCACCAGATTACTCACAGGGGTGCCCCGGTTTTTCCTTTTCTGGATGAGGTGCTTCATCTCCATCATGTCTGATTCATAGGATCTGTGAATCGTTCAGTCTGGGTCTTTCCTTGAAACCGTTTTGCTTTGAGAAACCCTACCAGGAGCTATTGTCCCCCCCTTCACCATGTTAAGGAATCTCGGAAGGGATGTGCTACTAGAGAAATTGTTAACAATCAGTCATTAAAACACACAGACACAGTACTACAATATTATTACCTCCGCCAAGAAGGTTATGTTTTCACCAGCGTTGGTCTGTTTGTTTGTCTGCAAAATAACTCAAAAAGTTCTGAAAGGATTTTGATGAAATTTTCAGGAAAGGTTGATAATGGGACAAGGAACAGATGATGAGTTGAAGAAGATAAATTTTGGTGGTGATTGGTTGAAGCGAAGTGGATAAAATAATAAAATGGCGGGAAATCCGAGCTGCTTGGCGGAGGTCTGCGCTCCCCGAGTGCTTTTCTAGTTTAATTAATTAATGTAGTTATCTTTCAACAATTCAAAAAGACATACACATTTCCATGTATTTAAACAAACTGTATTTTGCTGTTTGTACAAAACAATTTCAGCACATTTTACTGTACAGTCTGTAAATTGACAAGGGAAAATATAAACAAGAAATGTAACTTTACAATAAAATAACATGCATAAATATCAGGGTTTCCCACAATGGATTATATTTACTGCAATGTTTAAAGATTAAAAAAAATTATATTAAAATGTTAATTTCTGTCCAAGCTCCAATAGTTTTGTTGAGTCTGCCCAAGTTAATACCTTCACTTGTGGTCCATTCAGAATGGACCTGTGACCAACTTTTGGACCCACCAGTTGGGAACCACTGGCCTAAACTACAAAATATTAGAGCCAAGTTGAGAGAAATCATAGCTTTTCTCTTAGATACTTTCCCTCCCATGGAAGGCTTGTTTTCATAGTTTATTAAAGCACAAGTGTGGTTTACTACAACTTGCATCTTATTTTTGCAGTTTGTCCATCATTCCTAACAGCTGTGATCACATTTTACTCAACAAAGTAATTGTTGTGATCTGGGAATATGGTGACAATTATACAGTGAAGTTGCACAAAAACGCTAACCAAAGTTTATTAAGCTTATCTAAACCACTTCATTTGAAGGGCAAACTGAAAGTGAGAGCACCTGAAGTGTTGCTAATAATCCCTTGTTGAACAGGAAAACTGTGCTCAACTACACTAAGTACAGTAGGTCAAAGATCAAGCAGGAAGTAAGTTTATGAACTGTGATGGATTTTCCATCCAAATGCCTAACTTGGAGGTTTGTTTCCAACCATCTGATGGTCTGTTTTTTGTCCTATCAGACTTCCTTTTAGTGATGTCAGTTTGGTCCCAGATCTCAGCTACTGGTTTGGTGAAAACAATTTTATTAGTACTGATAGGAAGAACTGCCAAATCTATGAAAATAAGACCCAGTTTAATTTAGCTGGACTTTTCCTTTAATGGCTCAGACTGAAAAAAATAATTAATAAACAACTGCAAATGCCAGAACTGCATACTGCACTGTATATTAATTGCTTGATTTACAGTACATCCTCCCAGAGCCCATTGAGTCCAGGCTAAGTGGTGTTTGGTTAATGTGTACATATTACAATGGTGGAATGGCAAAGAGAAGTAATGAATAGTTTTGCAGTCCCAGTGAAAACCTGGAGCTCAGTTAGGGTACAGAAGAAGAACTGTCGAACTCCAGTGAAGTATGTTCCATACCACCGTAGCCATTCATCTTCTTCAGTTTTAGCTGGTCCACGTGGGCCAGGCCTTGGGTCTCAAGCACTGCCTCCTTCTTAGAGAACATCCGGCTGATCTCCATGAATGTCTTGTTTTTGGTCTCTGGGATCACAATGTAGACATAAACTGCCACGGCCAGACAGATGGTGCAAAACACCAAGTAGCAGTAAGACCCTGCTGACATCTGATGGTTAGATGAAAGATGGGGATAGAAAAATTAGATTAAGACAACATGTAACAAGTGATTTATGAATTGTCAATCCAAAAACAATAAGTATTTTGCATTACAGCAGCGGACTCAGAATAGAGAGCAAAGTGAGGGAAAGGGTTAAGAATTCAAGCGCTTCATAAGATGATATATAACAGACATGATGCAGCATGAGGTTGGAAATCAACATCCAAGTTGTAATTATGACTGGGAAACTCAGACTCTTTGAAAGCTCCGTATATCTGACTCAGAGAGTCACAATACAGAAGTGCCTGAAAATCAAGCACATACCACACATCACATGAGCCAAGCTTCTTTGTTCAAGGCCATTACACACAAATTTAATAGATACAGTATAGTGTCAATATATTTTCAATACACTGTATATGCAGCCTTCATTTGACCAACTCTGTAATCATACAAACCTCTTGAGTTATCCTGTGCTGTGAACATGGTGATCTTTTCTGTCTGTGCATCCATCCCACATCCCAGTAAATGCAGCATTAGCACACTGTGACCAGGAATGCTTCAGATGGTCGCTACTGATTTGAAACAGTCTTTAAATTCTTAAAAAAGTTAATAAGTCACTCAGGCAGTGTCCATCATGGCATCTTGATCCTGATCCAGTTCCTGTCAAACACCAGGAGTAGGTTAGCCCGGTGAAACCATCCTGATCTCGCAAGCTCATATTTGATTTCAATCTGCGGATCAGTCTGGCCATGCAATCATTAAGACGCATTCTGGCATCGGTTAAAGCCTACCGGGCCAATCACAACCGTTTATTACTTTGGGGCGGGTTATTTGAAATCACGTCATCAGAATAGGAGGGACAAGGAGCGGAGTGAATGCATTTCGTAAACAACCAAAATGTCTACTGATTTTGAAACTGCCATGGTAAATGTGTTGAAAGAACTGGAATGTACATTTTCTTTGAAAGCTTTTATTGAAAAAAAGGATGTGTTTGCTGTCCTTCCTACGGGGTTTGGTAAAAGTTTAATTTACCAATTGGCTCCGTTGATCGGGAAAAAGATGGGACTCAGTGAAAACCCAGTGGCTATTGTTGTTTCTCCACTAGTTGCTCTCATGGAGGAGCAGGTCAGGGAAGCAACCAAACTGGGAATCACAGCCATGCAACTCGGAGTCCACAGTGAGGAGGAAATCCGCAAAGACAGCAACACTCTTTCCCAGACATCATCACAGGTAATCTCTGCTGCACGCTGCGCTTGCTTGCTGATCTGTTTACAGTGGCGTTTTGCTAGCCTACGTCACACGTTTCGTTTACTCTGATTGGTTTTCCGTCTTTCAAATTGCGTGAAGGGGCACTTTGAGTGACAGTCGTTGATACCGCCCTTCGGGTATAGAGGAAATGTACACTCCGTGTCCAGACCCATTCAGGTTTTGCGAATTGGGTCTGGCAACGCCAGGCTAGGAGTAGGTTGCACCAACTGGTCTTTACTTAGCCTAGTCCTAACTGCAATGTCTTTAGAATGGACTTTAAGTCGGTTGCACCAAACAAACTTAATCCTAGTCTTAACTACACTCTTACCGATGGAAGTTCATTTGAATATCCAGCAACTATGGCAATTGCCAAGCAGCGCATGTGCTGCTGAAATACATTTTTGATAATCTTCCGCTGTCTTGCTAATGTGTGGCTAAGCATTTATCATCTGTGACAACGTATCCAAAGGAGGATTAGAGCCATGTTAAAGAAAAAAAAACACTTGGATTTCAAGAATTAAGTCATAAATCTACGATAGTAAAGTCATTTCTTTTTTTTTTTTTTTTTTTGGAGAGTTTTTCCTCATCCACTGTGAGGGGCCATGGACAGAGGGATGTTAAATGCTGTAAAGCCCTCTGAGGCAAATTGTGATTTGTGATATTGGGCTTTATAAATAAAACTGAATTGAATTTAATTGAATTATATTAATTGGTGTGTGAGTAAATCACTATGTGGAGCACACATGAATACACCAGAGCTGGAGGACCCACCTGCCAGTTTGGTTTGCCGGTCAGCTACAGCAGCACAGGACAGACAGTTACGCATAGGAACAGGACTGTTCCTGTGCCAGTGTTGCTCCACCACTGTAGGGAATGTTAATGGAAACACATCCAACATACTAACACACATGCTTTCAGCAGCCTTAGGATGCAAAACATAACGGGATGTGTTGTAGGTATATCAATGGAAACACATTGAACATGATAAGGCACAGTACAGCATCACCCAGATGTGCCGTCACCAGCGGCACCCTCCTATAATGTAGTCTGTATATGACACAACAACCTTCAGGGGTTATTTTTTTTCTGGTGGCAGAAGTGGAGTGGTGTAGATTTGTGTGGATAAATGAAAAATGAAAACAATAAACAGTTTTCAGGTGGTAATGTGTTACGTGACATTGTGAATGTAATAATATCACCTAAAATCTTGTTAGTAACGCATTATATTACTTTGGTACTGCTAAAACATATATTACTGTCACTCCCAACACTGTTTACACACACTTTGTCGCTTTTTATACCATGTTACCCAACTTCACAGACTTAATCTGTGACTTAATTTGTCATAAAATTACAAGTTCAATCTTGTAATATAACAGCTTTATTCTTGTAATATTACAACTTTATTTTCGTAGATTTATTACTTTATTCATGTAATATTACGACTTTATTCTTGTAGATTTACAACTCTAATTTTTTTGTCTTTAGTGTGGCCCCAATCCTTTGTGACATAATTATGAAGGATCAGAGAAAAAGAAAAGTAAATTTCATCAGGATACAAAGATTTATAAAGCTGTACAGCAGAGGCATGTCTCATTGTTTGATTGACAGCAGCTGGCAGGTGGAGCTCCACAGGTAATATGAAAGGAGAGAAAAGATAAACAAAAACTTGGCAGTAGCTTATAACCCATAGACAGTGTGTTGTTAGCAGTAGTATTCAAGACAAAGGACCACATCAGCATCTTAACAGACCGAAGTGACATTTGCAAGTAAGTTTATGTGCTGCTGCTTAGTGTGCTGCAGCTAATTAGCTAGCTATCTAGCTTGATAACTAACATTAGCAGTGCACTTTTCACCGGTGAACGTTTGGTCGCTCGTTCAACTAGCCGAAGTGAAGGACAAGACGCGTGATCATGTTTGTAAGTTAGCTGGATAAAAGGGAAACTTTCGCAGGAAGCTAATGCGATTAGTAGATTGCTGTTTTCTTTGTGGCTCCTATGTTGTGTTTCAGGCTGCTGACTTATCCAAATGGTTGAGATTTTGACTACGTCTGCTCCTGACTAGGCGTAAGATTTATGCACAGTCTTGGCGAGAAAAGGGCTAAAGCCTAGATGGTGCAACCGGTGTAACTATGAGATCTGACTTAGAATGCCAAATTATGACCAACTTAGCCTCAGACCAGGTGTAAGCCTTGTTGGTGCAACCAGCCCCAGCTGATCTCTATACAGCGCTGTTGATCATTTTGGGACCATGTGGGACTCAGGAAGACAGTAACTTTGGGCTCACTTACAAGCCTTTTCCAGTGCAGGGTAGAAACATGTATTCATTGTCATGTGCTGCTTTTGTTTTCACTGTTCTCCGCTGGCCTTGGTGACAATGGTCAAATTTGCTGATTTGGGATTGGTGAAGTGACTCATCATCACTACAAGGACAATCATAAAAGTAGCCACAATGTCACAACTGCATCTGTATCAGCCAAGACAACCAGTTCATTAAAACAAAAGGAAGAAGAGGGGCATCTGGTAGCCTAGCAGTAAAGATCAGATAACTGTAAAGTCCCTGGTTGGCTCATGGCCAGGTGTCTGTGTTGCATGTTACAGCTTTCTCTCTCCCTCAATCAAAAAAGGAAGAGGGAAAACACTCTCTTAATGAGATAAAGGTTTGTGAGAAAACAATAAAAAAATGGGAAAGCCACACAGGCTACTTAAGGAGGTCTTTCCTTTAGTTAACACTCATATATTAGATATGATCAATCTATCCTTATTAACAGGCTATGTACCACAGTCTTTTAAGGTAGCTGTAATTAAACCTCTACTAAAAAAGCCCACCCTGGATCCAGAGGTGTTAGCCAACTATAGACCAATATCTAATCTTCCCTTTATGTCAAAGATCCTTGAGAAAGTAGTCGCAGACCAGCTGTGTGATTTTCTCCATGATAATAATTTATTTGAGGAATTTCAGTCAGGATTTAGAGTGCATCATAGCACTGAGACAGCACTAGTTAAAATTACAAATGACCTTCTGATTGCTTCAGACAAAGGACT